CTTAAGCAATATAGATCACTACACTAACATGATGATGCCATTTGATTTGACATTCCATTTGCTAAATGAAATTTGCAGGCTCATTTTGTACTCACTACTGATTTATTCATTAGTGACGTTAACTACTTATTTTTGCAGATGCCCTTATTGTACACATCCAGGATAACAATATACTGTTTCCTGACAGGTGTTGAGCTTGTGCAAAGCTTGTAAGCTTTATATGCGGTTCTTTCACTTGCTAAACTGGAGAAAGTAAAGTTTTTTTTATCATTTTCAAAATAATATAAATAATATAAAATAATAAATATAAATATTAAAAAAAGCATGAGTATGACTTGGACAACTTAGGAATCATTAAAGTCATAGCAGGGATGTGAATCATATAGCACTCCAGGTGTTGTAAGTCCCACTAACCAGAGCTGGCATAGCCGATAGTGGGGAATGCACAGTTGCCTATCTCTGAATTATAGACACATTTTACAGGTACGTCTTATGTTCATTAGCTGTTTTAAATACCACAATATGTTAATTAGGAATTGATGGTACATCTCAAAGAAGGTCAGTATCACAACTGTCATGTAAACTGGACATTTTAATTTCTTGTTTTAAACAAAGTTCAAAATGTAACCTAGCTTATGGAAATTTGAATTCTAAAAAGGGAGAGTAAATGTGGTCATAATCCACTGTCTCTGGGGTAAAATAATATACAATTCTTCACTAATAAAATCTTCCTTTAAATAATGCTTGGTGGTTATTCCCAAGAAAGAGAAATATATTTATTTATTTACCATATATGTACCACGCCCTTCTCAACCCCGAGGGGCTTCACATATCAGCAACAATTCAATGACTTAAAAACATACAATTTATAAAAAACATCTACATTAAAAACAGAGAATTAAAACACATGAAAACAATTACATCAATTATTAAAATCCCATGATTCAATCTTGTAGTCCAGGGCCATTCCAAAATGTCATTTCACAAATTCTTTGTTCATTTATAGCACTGCAGTTAATCTCCAAAACCTTGGCCCCATAGTCATATTTTAACTTTCTTCCTGAAGGCTAAAAGGGAGGCAGTTCCATAGCCAAGGAGCCACCACTGAGAAGGCCCTGTCTCTCGTCCCCACCAAGGAGGTGAGACTGAGAGCAGGGACTCTCCAGAAGATCTTAATCTCCACGATGGTACATAGAGGGAGATGTGTTCGGATAGGTAAGCTGGGCCAGGACCGTTTAGGACTTTATAGGCTAAAGCCAGCACTTTGAATTGTGCTCGAAAGGAGACTGGCAGCCAGTTGAGCTGACGCAACAGGAGAGTTGTATGCTCCCTGTATGCCACCCCGTTGATCAATCTGGCTGGCATCCGTTGAACCATTTGGAGCTTCCAAACAGTCTTCAAGGGCAACCCCACTTAGAGAGTGTTGCAGTAGTCTGTTTGGGATGTAACAATAGTGTGGACTACTGTGACCAAGAAATAGCTCTTGTTTATGTCTGAACTAATTTGCCAAACAGTCACTGTTGAATGTTTTTATGTTTAATGTTTTTATATTGTGTAAATGCTGTTTTACACTGTAAGTCACTCGGAGCACCTTGGTGGAGAGCAACTAATTAAGAAATAAAGTGAAGTGAAGTGAAGTGAAGTGAAGCTTAGGCCCAGACACTCTGGTCTAGTTATAAACGGTCCAACATCCAGTTCTACTCCAGCACCCTAATCCTTGCATACACTTTTGTTCAAAAACATGTTTTTTATGAAGCTGTTCTTCCACTCAAATAAACACCAATCATCATGGGTTTGTATGAGTGTTCGCTTTATGTCAGGTCTCCCTTGCAATGAGCTTTTGGGCTAGGATGACACAAGGGACCTCACCATACAGCTGAGTTCCGTCCCCATCCCCCATCCCCATTTCACTGGCAATTGCCGACACAATGGCAGGCACATGGGACACCTCGCTGCACCCCACGCACCCTTCTCCATTACATGTGGGACACGGGACAAGGCGTGTTACCCTTTCCCCCATTAGATGGGGAGCTACCCAAAAAACACTTGCCCAAGCATGGTGACCAAGGAATTGTCTTCCTTGATGCTTCAAGAATCAATGGGGTGGGGCCTACCAAGCATCATGTGATTACACTTGGCAGGCCCCATCCCCAAAGTGCTTCAAAGGGCCGATTTGCCACAATGTGATGAGGTGGTAAATTCAGCAATCATTCAAAGTTTAATTAATCATCATCTGACCTGCAGTGCTTATGCTAAATTTGTCTGAGATATTGTAAAGACATTACTGAAAACTGAGCAGCAACAATTAACAAATCAGTTAAAGTATTTGCTGGTGTCTGGAGGGTTCATGCAATAGATGATCCTCTATGTTGGGTTTTTTTTTAATATTTCTATTATTTATTGTATTTGAATAGTTTCCTAGTAAAAAAATATTTTTGGAAACCCCTTTGATCTTCTTGAGAAAGTAACAACAATTAAAAAGAGCAGAAGAAAATGTTCCAAAAGCAAGGAGGGACACACAGAAATCCAAAAACATAATTCATAAAATTATAGTAAACATTAAAGTATTCACAGTGCAAAATAGAATATATGACCCTATAAAAGGACATAAATAATTGCTACTAATTCTTAAAAGCCATGTACTATGTGTAAAAATAAATATATCTTTTTCCAGTCGTTTCTAAAAGTATGGATCAAAAGGAATAGTGTTTTGGTATCAAACATTATTGCAATATAATTTTAAAAACCCACAAAAGAGACATCATTGGAAAGAGGAGGAAAATGTGTTTTTAAGCCTTGTTGAAAGCCTGCAAAAGATTTGCTTTCAAGGAAGGAAGTAGGTGTGAAGAGAGGCCGGGGCCTCCAAGTGTCGTCTCACAGCAGTTGAAGCCACAGCCAGAAAAGCCTGCAAACGCAGATGCAATCATCCCAGGATCAACATCTCTTTAGTGAATGAGACCTTCAAAGATCATTTCTGGGATTTATTGGTGGATTTGCCAATCAATCGACATAATCAGCCAATGGGAAGCATTGGATGAGGCCAAGGTGGAGGGACGGAAACCTTCATGCTTCACTTACTCCTTCATGTCCTTCTCTCTGGCTGGATTGGCTGTCAATCAAACCCAAATGAGGCTTACCCTGCAGCTGACACCATATCAGATGAGATGTTCTTGACTAACTATTAGAATGCTGAGCCAGTACTATCAGTGGTCAAAGATTTTTGGGATTAGAAGTTCCAAACATCTGGAGGGCCAAAGCTTGAGGACCACTGCACTCCATACAACCCTAGTCTGCTGCTGTATTTTCAGATTGTGTAACTGATAATCGTTCATAGCGTAGATACTGTCTTCAATCACTGAATTGGGTCCAAACTCCATGAACAAACAGATTTAATGGATGCTCCCTAATGGTGGGAAAGGCAGGAAAAAGTTTTCACTAATTCAACCCAACTCCCAGCACCCTGCAATCTCTATTCCTGCCTCTCATCATGATCCAGTGGCCCCTTCAATCTTTTAAGGTAGATTTTCAGGAGCATAAGAGGCAAGAAGGGTTATAAAAAAAAACCAACCCCAATTCCTTCTAGTTTTTGTGGATCTTTGCCAGGCATACCTTTTATACAGCAGGTAGTGCAAATTCTCTTTCAATGTGAGGCTAGTTTGCATCTCTGTCGAGGGATATGAAATACAGTAGATTCAAGGTGTTGTGACGGCTTACTCTGGCGACAACCTGAGTTAACTTGAAAATTAAATATTTCCCCTTTCAACCAGTTTGAAGTTGCATTCATTTGTGAGCCTTGCATGAAATAGTGCTAATTGCCAGTTTTGTTTTCAAGTGGAATTCCGTGTCTGTAAGCACAAGTGATTTTATGCAGAATTCATGTTTAGCCTAGATTTTTAAAGCAGTTATCTCAATAAACAACTATTGTGGTGCATTCTGATATGAAATAATGAAATTTGGTACTGCCCTAAATATGTACAGATTTTTTATTAATTACAAAAGCTTACTGGCATAGGACCCTGATAGTCTTATGATGTAAATTAAAAATATTGTATTCCATCATTAAACTGTAGATTTAGCATGGATCACTCATGTTCTTAATGGTAAGGATGTCAAGAAAATTAGTTCTCAGATTGGACAGTGAGTAATTTTAGGAATTTTCGTCCTGTTATGAGAAAGTGTGTGACTTGTTCTGCATCAGATTCACACATTTTCCCCATAGAAAACAGCAAGATTTTTGCATAGAATTTTGGATTATTTGCACATCAAATCCATTTCTTTTGGGCTCATCTGCTAACAGATCTCAGACAGTGGTGCATTTCTACTGACAGAGTCTCTATTGATATATATATCTGGAGTCAATCAGCAAAAGAAGGTTCTGTTAGCAGAAAAGACTCATGCCTAATTCCAACCCCATTAAAAACAGGGCATCTTTTAAGACGAAATTCCATTTTTTAAACTTTTAGTCAAGCCACATTCCTATAAAACTAAGTAAAAAAAATACAACTATAATTCAGAAAACAATAAAATCCGTGATCAAGTTCCAACAATAATGTACCTGAGTTATAATTTGGTAAAATGTGCTACAGCTAATTATTTGGAATGGGTTATTTCTAAACTTTGTGTGATTTCTGATTTCTAGATATGGTTATTACTGTTCTGGTTGTCCGTAATTAAGACATGAAAATTTCTTTGTGTAATTCCTTGATTCGGCTATTGGAAATTGACAGAGGTAAAGTATTTAACATTTTAACAAGTTAAATAATTAGTTTTCCCATTACTGTTTATAAGATGCCCCCAAACCTGCCCCATCACTCAGAGCTATACTTTCCAGCGTTCCCCGAACAGCAGGACTGATTATAAAATCAGCAGTTCTGTGGCGCCGATACTTGTTTGATGTTGTTTCAAAACCAATATGGAAACGTGCCTTTAATTCTTTTAACAGAAGTAAATTAGGATGTTGAATGAGTACATTTTAAATGGAATGATTTCTGTTTTCTCAGGCTGTCTACATGTTCTATGCTTTGGCTATTGTCTGCGATGATTTCTTTGTTCCTTCATTGGAAAAGATTTGCGAAGTAAGTATTTAGTACATTCTCATATTTATTAACAGACTGTATGGAATCAGAACTGTATTCTTTCCTTTACATATCCCCATGTTTAGTTTTAAATGGCTTGATCATTTGATTGGTAGTTAGGTAAGTAGGTAGACAAAATTGCTTTCTCATGAATGAGATTTACAATATATATTTGCAACACTTCACATTTTTAACAAGTCAGAAAGGTCCTTATAGCTGCAAGACAATGTGTCCATTAGCAAGAATCAAAGGCCAAGTTGCTTCGATGTAAGAAAAAATGTACTTATTTGTAAAATGCATTTTTGTACAAAAGCTTTGCAAAATTTTGTGTAAAGGTTTAGAAATGCAAAAAAAAATAATTAAAAATATGTATTCTTTTCCAGTAAAGAGCAAACAAGAATGGGAAAATATATAATGCTGTATGTGGAGAAAACCTATAAGAATTTTCATGTTCATGTGTAAAAAATACACAAAGCTTTACTTCCATGTTGTTTTCAAAATTAATTATAGCAATAGGATCAAATTCTAGAGGAAATGCCAATAACTTGGTTTGAAGACAAATAGCACTGAGCCTTTGAATTCCATCAGATTTTCAATGGAATCATATGTAGTTGTATAATGAATAGCCATTGTTATGTTTGTCCTTCATTGATTTCTCTTACTCCATTTAAAGTAATATAAGTTACTGGCCATCAGTACATCTTTATATTTAGCATAGTCGTGATATGAAACCTTACCAGACCAATTAGATTAGATGCTGATGATCAAGATGGTTTTAAATAGTGTATTTTAATATTGAGGCAAATGTTTTTAATGTTTACGTATCCATATAATGAACGCATGTCCTGGCCGTTTGTGTGTTGTGCTCCGCCCTGAGTCCCCTTCGGGGTGAGAAGGGTGGAATATAAATGTTTTAAATAAATAAATAATAGCATGAGTTTTGTGGAGAATCATATATTGATTCTTATGCATAATATATCCCTGTCACCCATGCCTCAGGTTTTTATACATACTGTTTCTGATCTGAGATCTGCACAGAGCTAAAACTGCTAATAGAAACAGTTCAGTAGAGGAAAACATAAATGGACCAACTGATACACAGAAGGTATGAGCAGCATTGGCCATCCTTTCGATAAGAAGAAGAGTCATATAATCGGCTTACTCCATATTATTTCATGTGTGTAGATGTTGTTAGAGTGGTATGGAATGGCATCACAAAAAGCAGCCACAACAGTCCTATTCTGGTGTAGAACTAATTGTGTGAGCCTAGTTGCAAATCTTTTGAACATCTCCATTCTCCTGCTATCTCAAAATGATAGGAGAAGAAATTATTAGAAGAAAGATTCTCCCCCACTTTATCTCATATGGCCTTTTCCTCTCCCCCTCTCTCTATTTTTATTTTTGGTTGCGATTATATGCATTTTCTCTTCCTCCGCAGCGTCTGCACCTCAGTGAAGATGTGGCAGGAGCAACATTCATGGCAGCTGGTAGCTCTGCTCCAGAACTGTTTACATCTGTCATAGGTAATTACTAAATTGCCAATTTCTTGCTGTCATTTGTGAAAACAAGCACAGCTATTTATAGTTTTGTTTTGGTCCTTCCAAGGTATGTGTAAAAATTGCCAATACTGTTGTAAGAGCAAACCTATTCTACCAGTAAAAGTGACAAAATGATACCGTCGACATTTGTGGTATCCTTTGCCTGTGCATGGGCAAGTTGTTACAAAGCCAATAATATTCAGATGTTGCACAATGTATTATTTTATTAGGTTCTTGTGGGTTTTTTCGGGCTATATGCCCATGTTCTAGAGGCATTTTCTCCTGACGTTTCGCCTGCATCTATGGCAAGCATCCTCAGAGGTAGTGAGGTCTGTTGGAAATAGGAAAATGGGTTTATATATCTGTGGAATGACTGGGGTGGGGCAAAGAGCTCTCTGCTGAAGCTAGGTGTGAATGTTTCAGCTGACCACCTTCATTAGCATTTGAAGGCCTGGCTGAGCCTGGGAATCTTTTGTTGAGAGGTGATTAGATGTCCTTGATTGTTTCCTCTCTGTTTTGCTGTTGTAATTTTAGAGTTTTTTTTATTCATTTTCATGGTTTCTCCTTTCTGTTCAAGTTGTCCACATGCTTGTGGATTTCATTGGCTTCTCTGTGTAGCCTGACATCGTGGTTGTTAGAGTGGTCCAGCATTTCTGTGTTTTCAAATAATATGCTGTGTCCAGGTTGGTTCATCAGGTGCTCTGCTATGGCTGACTTCTCTGGTTGAAGTAGTCTGCAGTGCCTTTCATGTTCCTTGATTCGTGTTTGGGCACTGCGTTTGGTGGTCCCTATGTAGACTTGTCCACAGCTGCATGGTATATGGTAGACTCCTGCAGAAGTGAGAGGATCCCTCTTGTCCTTTGCTGAATGTAGCATTTGTTGGATTTTCTTGGTGGGTCTGTAGATGGTTTGTATGTTGTGTTTCCTCATCAGCTTCCCTATGCGGTCAGTGGTTCCCTTGATGTATGGCAAGAACACTTTTCCTCTGGGTGGATCTTTGTCTTTACTCTCGTGGCTTGTTCTCGGTCTTGCAGCTATTCTGCTGTCTGAGGTGGAGTATCCATTGGCCTGTAGAGCCCAGTTGAGGTGGTTTAGTTCATCTTGGAGGAGGTGGGGTTCGCAGATTCTTTTTGCACTGTCTGCCAAGGCTTTAATGGTGCTTCTTTTTTGACTTGGGTGATGGTTGGAGTTTTTATGTAGATATCTATCTGTGTCTGTGGCTTGTCCTTCAGCTGGAGATTACTTTGATGCCCCCCTTTCTAAAAATTTGTTGATTGCTATGGCAAAGATAATGAAGGGGGTCGCTTTCCGCTGAGTCACAGAGCACTTAATTCACATTCATAATGTTCCTGGCATTTCCACAAAAGATCTTGGGTATAACTTTTAAATGCTTTAGAAGGTGACTAGGGAATGAGCTTGTTCATTTATTCCTGTTTTCCTCTGGGGTGAAAGTAGGGCTAAGGAAGGGTGTATATAAGTGCATTTGCAGTAGGACGCATTTGAGGACACATTGTAAGGCCATGTTGAACAACAAGTGTTAAACTAAAATACCTTGGGGCAAAGGAAAGGGTACTTTGAAAATAGTTGGCCTTCTTGTTAAGGAAATAAGATTACCAAAAGCAGTATTCCCACAAGGAAGTGTGCCATGCCGTTTCTCTATTGTGAATCGTGATTCTGAGAAGGAAATATCATATGTTCTGGGAGTGGCAAGTGCTAGTGCTTTGTCTCTCTGGCTTTAGATTTAACTGCCAAGCTCATCTATGATTATGAAGGAGGAAAGAAGCCAATAGTACTAAATGCAATTAGATACTTGTTAAGGAATGTGTTGCAAAATGCTCTTTGCTAGCACATCCTCCCAGCTCAAAAAATAAGCCACAATTTGGCACAAATAATCTATGTAATTGAATATGCAAAGGTTTATTGTTGTGCTTTCTCTTGGGAATGACCAGCAGCACCATATATTTTTATCTTCAAACATTATGGTGCATACTTAGATCTATACTGGACTGGAATGTCCATTCAAGGAAAATGAATTTCCTGTGCAGATATAAATTCATATTGTTCAAATAAACTACTCAGGCTTTTTATTTCACAAGTGGATAGAATAGTTGGTATTACAGAATATACCAGAATTAAATTATATCTTATACCTGTTACCAGAGAGCCCATCAAACCTACTAAAATCTGACAAATCTTTTAACCCCCCATGGGATTCAATTTTGTTTATTTATTTATTTACGATATTTCTATCCCGCCTTTCTCAAGCCCGAAGGCAACGCAAGGCGGCTTACAAATTGGCAGCAATTTGATTTCATAACAACCCACAATATACAAATAAAACATTTAAAACAGCATTATAAAACCAATATAAATCAACACAAGTTGATTTGGCCCATGTTTTCACTGGCTTACTCTGATGTCAATCCTGAGCATTATGTTCCAGGCTGGTCCTAGATCGACCATAATGGTGACTACATGCACCAATCCAAACTCATTGTGATTTTATTTATCGTGTCATCAGCAACCAGACATTTGTATTACATTTTTAACAAAAACAAACAAACAAACAAACTCATTGTGATGCTGCAGCAGTATCCATCTAGTCCACCTATGCAGAGACCACGTCAGCCTAAGTGGCCCTTGTTTCACCACCATTGCTCCTCACAAACCACAAAGTTCCTTTCAAGTGCCTGATAGTCATGGTTGTGTCTCTGAGGTCATTACAAGGTTCATGCAATCAGCAAGTAGAGGGCAGAGCAATTTCCTCCTTACTGTTTGCATAGGTGCAATGGCCAGGCACTCACAAGGGGCTCTGTGGCCAGTGAGGAGTGACAGTGGTGACTTGAGATTGACGCATCTTCTTTCAAGTGCTAAGAAGTGCAGATAAAGGGTGATGGTGGAAGTGTATGTGAATTTTAAAAAAATCAAACTATGCAGCTGATGACATTCTAGGATTTGGTCAAGTTAAGGGCTACTTACTAGAGCTCACTGTGCATTGTGAAAACTACCCGGGCCAGTTTGGGATAACCGTGTTTTTATATGTAGATATGTGGTCAGAATATGGTATAGTGTTCTACTGAGATAGAATGGACTGTATGATGTAGTTAAGAGGAAAATGTGTCACCTAGGAATTGCATTGCACTTACTTGAGCCCGGACCCAGCTCTCCGATTCTGTTTTTTCAGCCATGATACTGCTTTTATGTTGTTGCTGTTGTGACTGTGTGATTTTTTATTTGATTATTTTTAATGCTGTTGTTTTATCTGTGATTTTGAGCTTGTCTCCATGTAAGCCAGCCTGAGTCCCCAGGGGGAGATGGTGGCAGGGTATAAAAATAAAGTTGTTGTTGTTATATTTCCAGTGTTGATTATGCAACAAACAACATTCCATTCTATGTCAGAAAAAGTTATGCCTGCTTGGAAGGGACCTTATTTATTTATTTTTATTTATTTCCTATATTTATACCCCGCCCTTCTCCCCCTGAAGGGGGACTCAAGGTTACTGATCCCTAACTTGTGTTTTTTGTTTAGTGTTACTTTTTGCTTTAATACAATAGCATTAAAAATAGCATCCCTTCCCTGCCTACATACATTTATATCCTGAAGAGGGACAGTCCATATTGTAACCTTTGGCCACTGTTCATTTTCCGGTCCCAATTCAAGGTGCAGGTGCTCACCTACAAAGCCCTAAATGGTTTGGGACCCGCCTACCTGCGTGACCGCATATCCGTATATGAACCCACACGATCCCTCCATTCATCTGGAGAGGCCCTGCTCACGATCCCACCTGCGTCGCAAGCGCGTTTGGTGGGGACGAGGGACAGGGCCTTCTCTGTGGTAGCCCCCCGACTCTGGAACTCTCTCCCCAAGGACATCAGACAAACCCCAATGTTGGCAGTCTTTAGGAAGAGCTTGAAGGCCTGGCTGTTCCAGTGTGCCTTTCCAGAATAGGAAACTCCCAGCATCATGTCCCAAATGCACTTTATTAGCGATTTAAGATTGCCTGCACATAGCACCTACCCTAAAATCCTTACATTTCACCTGTCATGTCCAGCACTTTTAATTTTATTCATTACATTTGGCCCGGCCCTTAGTTTTAAATGTGTCATGATGTTATTGTTTTAATGTTTTACTGTTATTGCTTTAATGTTTATTGGTTTGCTTTATGAGTTTTATTGTTGTATTTGTTATGCTGTTGTTTTATTGAGGGCCTTGACCTTTGTAAACCGCACTGAGTCCTTTGGGAGATGTTAGCGGGGTACAAATAAAGTTAATATTAATAATAATAATAATAAATAACCTCATTTTGATGTGCTAACAGGTGATAAGCCTTTGCTTTTATTTTTCTTGCCCTGAATTTCCATTGCACTTCCTACTGAAATGAATTCAACAGTGATCATGCAAAAATCACATATGGGTTATAAAACATCTTCTGTACTTCACTCTGTGCTAAAAGAGATGCTGTATTTTTTTTCCTATCTCATGGTACCTCAAGAAAAATACCTATAGTTATTTTCTGTTAAAGTGTGATAAGAAATTTTGCCTGTCTTTAGACTGCCTGCCTATTCTGACTGACACAGAATGCCTTAAAATTATTTTCCCTTAGGTGTGTTTATCACAAAAGGAGATGTTGGTGTGGGAACAATTGTTGGCTCTGCCGTGTTCAACATTCTATGTATAATTGGGGTTTGTGGCCTCTTCGCGGGGCAGGTAAGATAATTCATGGAATTAAAAAATGATATTACAACTTTTTCCAGTTATTACATGCTAGAGCTTGAGTCAAAGGCACCAGTACTTTGGTGGTGCTATATATTCAAACATAGTTATGAGCTGAAATAATGTAAACTTGGGATTTTCCAGTTCAAAACATATCACTGCTATAGTATTGCATCTTTATAGGATTTTAGGGAGGTTCAGAGTGCTTCATGTACAGTCCTTTGCAAAACTGTGGAACATAAGTCAGCATTATTATTCCCATATTGAATGTGTTAGGGATTTTTCTTCACTGGAACCATTCCACATTTCTTTGACATTGAATTTTCACAATCAGCTGAAAGTTGAATAAAAACACAAGTTCAGTACAAGTCTTAATATAGTACTATAATATCCAATAATATCCTTTCCCCTGACCAAGATTTTTCTACAGTTTCAAAGGAAGCCGGACAAATTTCTCAAAGGTATTTTCCAATGTTAATAAAAGTTCCCTGCTTACAGATTTTGCTCTTTTGCTCTTTTATTGTTTACTGTTGAACACAGAAGTAAAATTACCAATGAACAGGCTGGTAATTGATCCTTAAAAAACATCTCTTAATTTATGGTTTAGTGCTATTTATTACATTAAAAACTGAAAGAAAAAGCACAATGAGAGTCATCAATGAAACATCCTGTACACATCTTCTGATACACAATGTTGCACACTAGCATTGAAACATCTTTTCACCCAGCACCACACCAGAGTCTAGTAATTCTATCTAAAAATGTTTATTAATGAAAGTAGAAAAAAGGGGGAAAGGGGCAATTCCAAAAGGATCAGTAGAATAGAAAATACAAAATAACTGTAATCCAAAAATGACAAGGAACATAAAGTCAAGAAAACCAAAATTCACAGCAGTATTCCAAACATAAATCCATGAACATGAAAACAGGAACCTTTCAAGGTAAACTCTCCAAGGAAATAGAGGCATAAGCAAGAACAGGAAAGTTGAGAACTTGAGAGTAGAAACATGACAGCAATCTCCTATAGCAACGTTGTCTCCTCTGAAACCAAACCATTTAAACCCTCTAAGACACCCATGACATCATGCCCAACACATCTGGACTTCAGGGTCTTATCTTGGATCCCCTGAGAATATCTAGTTTGCCTGTTTTTCACTCCCTGAGTTCTCAGGTCTAATCTAGTCTCCCTGGAAAACTCCCCATCTGCCCAAGGCCTTTTTTCAAGGGAACTGGAACTTTCACTTTCCATTGTTGCCTGGGAACGAGCACAAGTATCCAAAACATAGGCCTCGTCTGCCTGCAATTCTCTCCAATCACTCACAGACTCCTCACTTTGAAACCCATCACCCCCCTCATCCTCTGAACCTTCAGAATAATCCTCTGATGCTTGCAGGACTACAACAAATAGCAATTGACAGGCTATACATTGCTCTCCTTGTTCCATATTCCATTGGAAACAAAAGCATTTTCAAACACGATGGTTTTGAGAAAAAGCAAGCAAACCGCAAATACCTCAAGTATGCTTTGCCATTGGATGAGTTTAAGTGTCAATTATGAATTTGATAGAAGAGCATGGGTCATTGTTTTTCAAAAGTAACACATTTGTATTGCATTTGAAAAACGGGTGTGTTGTCACCAAAATATGCATTAAAACCCCCATATCCATGGGTCTGGCCCCTGCAAGTTAACCTATTGGCATTAAGCAAAAATATATTTTCTAGGACGTTTCTAGGTCCTCCAGGCAATCCTATTTATTTATTTATTTGCAGTATTTATAACCTGCCTTTCTCACCCAAAGGGGACTCAGAGTGGCTATACAGAATATACATACATATGGCAAACATTTAATGCCAATTATCCACTTAACCAGAAGTGATTTGCAGTTTCTCAAGTCGCTCCTGACACGAAAAAACAAGGACAGACAAACAGAGGTAAAGGCAGTTGTTCCGGCAGTTATTTCCAGCATTTTGAAGGCTGTGCTCAACTCCGGGAATGGAGGGGGGGGGGGCGGTGCTGTTGCTCCATCTTCCATGCCGAGAAGCTTTCTTCCAATCAATCAATGTCCTTAAGGGTCCCTTTATTACTTCCCTGCTAAAAGCAGTACCTATTTATCTACTTGCATTTCTGCTTCCGACCTGCTACGTGAGCTGGGGCTAACAGTGGGTGCTCATCCCGACACAGGATCAAACTGTTGACCTTTCAATCGACAAGATTTTTCTGCAGCTAAGCCCATGGTATACTGTCTCTCTAGAAATATTCTAGGTCTTCCAGGGAAGTTTTATGGTAACTTCCAGAGGAAGTCATTCATTTCTATAGGATTCTGTATTATCCACATGCTTTATTTTTTTAATGGCTTTAGGTATTCATGTATAGGTCTGGAAATTATAGTAAAAAATTAACCCCCTAACCCTAAGTTGTTTTATCCATTGATTCTCAATGGCAGTCGTAGTGCCTGCCTCAGTGGATTCATTATTTTGCAGTTGCGTTCTCAACTCTTCTATGTTTAGATACACACATGTTATAGACCCATCTCATATCTATGGGATTCCCTCCTCTTGAAAGGGCCATCTAGGAACATGCTGCCAAGCATAGAAGGCAATCCTTCCCCTTCTTCTTGTTTTGACTATGAAAAGTGATACAGGCCTTACATGTTTTACAGAGAAGGCCTTCAGGGGCTTTTCAGCAAGATGGGATCATATAACTCAGCATGGCATAGGTCTGTATTCAGATATTTAATCTATGCTGCGGATGTAGAATTGAGGCTATACGGAATTGTTTAAAACATCTCATGCTAGCAATGACATTTAATTATAATAACTATAAGATTCCCGAACAAGTACTGAGTCTTCTATAATTGCCATTTCAATATTTTAATTTAGCCAAGTGTTAACTTATGATGGCTTTACAGTAGAACTGCTCTGATTATTATAGCATAGGACATTGAATGTAGCTGGTTCTGAATGGCTGAATTCAGAACTAACTGTGTTCAAAGCAGCTTTGTGGAAAGTAGTGATCCATGGAATTTTTTGCAGATTCTGTCTCTGGTTTGTGAGGCAAAAAACAAAGCAGAACACCAGTCGTATCTCAATTCAAATGTCAGGATAAGTACTCTATAAACTCATATATAAGCCAAGGAATTTTAGTCAAAAAATCAGTGGAGAACAAAATCTATTATTTTGACTCACAAACTTGCCTCCGACTCGTATACAGGTGTATATACAAGTCCTCGAAAACAAGTTTTAGACACACCGAGCAATGTTACTTGTTATAGTAAAAGAAACAAGAACATGGCACTCATGTCACTTTGCAGACTTGTTATGCCCTCATTACTCCCTAGGTTACAGGTCAAGTAATTACTTCTAACAAACTATTTCTAAATTCTCCCAGGAGAACAACTCATTAGACACACTTAGTGTGCGTAATTCTACAGTAAAGAGTGGCTGTGAAAGCAAATCAGTTGACCCTCACCTTGTTAGTGAGGACAGTGTTAGAATCCCCTTATTGGTTTACTGATTGTGTCTGGTTTATTTTGAACTGCAGTTGTGTGGCCTGAGCCTGAGAGAACATTCTGGCTTGTCTAAAAAGTTTTGAGGCAGGGTTTTTGTTGGGGGAAACGTAAGGTCTCCCTTTTCATCAACCAGCTGGCCCAGCGACCACGATAGTAACCGTTGCATCAGCCACAGTTCCGTTGGGACAATGCATATTAAAAATGATAATACCAATAACTTGGAATTGTCATAGGAGTTTTGGAGTCTGTCTAATGTTTTCTAAAGCTTGCCAGATGTTTTTATATCAAAAGGCTTAATGGATACAGTTGTTCCTGCTGTCAGCAGGGACTGCTTTGATATTTAATAATGCTTAGCCTGGCGTTTGAACTTTATTCAGTAGTGAGAGGGGGACTAGGGGACAATGTATGTCCTCTACTAATACCACAAAATAACATCCTTATTTGTTTAGATTGTTAAAATATTTCTAGACCACCTGTTGTCTTTTCATATTCCAAAGCATTAACTATTAACCTTCTGCAACAACAATAACAATATAAAATGTGTGTTTGTCAGAACCATAGTTCCAAGGCCATGAAACCTATATATCTGAAATTTTGTTTGCATACTAAGAAGAGCATGTGGGTTTGCACAGGAATACTTTAGGGTGGTTTTTTATACATGCATGTTTTATTTGTAATTAATTGAAATGTTTCTTGTGTTTAATGTCTGCACTATCATCTTCATTCACTAGGTAGCATATTTACCTTTCTGGGTTGGGATCTGCAGTCAACACAATTTGAAGTTGGTATTAGTCTGAAAGATGAAGTTATACGGCTGCACCTTCCATAGCATGTTGAAAAATAATTAGATTAGAGGACATGGTAAACTATAAGCATGTGTGCACTTCACGTACACATTCACAAACACATACATCAGCAACTCATAATCCCTAGAATTTCATTTCATTGGATTGCAGTAAGATGCAGTTTTCCCTATATACAGTGTTCCCTCGCTACTTCACGGTTCGCTTTTAGCGGATTCACTGTTTCACAGGTTTTTGAAAATATTAATTAAAAATATAAAATATTACGTCCAGTGGAGGCCAGGGACCCCAGAAGTGAGGCAGCCTGAGGTGCGGCAGAGATGGCCTTCCTCCCTTGCCTGCGTGGCTCCGGAGGCTCTGCAGGGGTCTGCGGAGGTCAGGGAGGCAGGCAGGTGCCCTTGGGATGGGCCGGGAGGCGGGTAAGGAAGCGCGGATAATAAAATAATACATCACATAATGTATAAATGTTAACATTAATATGGCATCCCTACTTTGCAGATTTTCACTTATTGCGGGCGGTCCTGGAACGGAACCCCCACAATAAGTGAGGCAACATTGTAAACATCTCTAAAAAGGAGGTGCATCCATACTCCCTGAATTTGAACTGCTGACCTTTTGGTCAGCAAGTTCAGCAGCTCAGCGGTTTAACCCACTCCACCACCAGGGGCTCCAGAAGTTACTTT